GAACTTCGGCTGCTATAGCCTCGTATTTCCACGCATCCTATCGTCCTGTCGCGTGTCTCAGCATCCCAGGTCGATGTGCAGCATCCCTGGTGGCTATGACAGCGATCACGTGATTCCCACCGGTTGTATGAAGGAAACCTGTGGGGGTGATCATTGTGTGCCTTGTCATGTGATGTGCGTGACATAAAACATAACTTGATTGCGCGTCTCTCGTGATGCATGATGGGAAGATAAGAAGCCCTACCCACGCTGAGCTTGTGGTATAAATACGGGGCTCTGCTCTCAGTAAGGCAGTGTACGATCTGGAGCGACCGAGACGGGTCAAGCCAGCATTGCGGCCACAAGCAATGGCGCCTCATCTTCACGGATCACGCAAGCATACCAGTATCTAGTTAACCCCTGCACAGAGCAAGCAACTCACTACAGGGTGTTATCTAGTACGGTTTGGCTGTTCAGTTCATCGTGTATATTTCTACCCCCCAGCGAGAACGCTGTGTGGGATTTTGTGCACCATCTTTTAGTTCACCTTAGTCTGTTGACTAAGGCCGAATAAAAGCCCCGGGCCTATTCCCGGCGTGAACACGTTTATCGGCTTGTTCTGGTTTCACGTGTTGCTATTTCTTGTGTTGACACCTACACTACAGTCCAGCGGTCGAACCTTCATTCGTCGTCACAACTAGACGTAAAATCGTTGCATATATATATATAATATAATATGTTTGTTGGTAGAAATATAGGCACTGCATGCGACGTCGTGCGCAAACAGTGAATACCTTAGGAACGTTAGAACGAAATCGCATATTGTAGCAGTATATTGTTAATAATTCATGAGTCATAAATCACAATATTAATAATTTAAATAAATTCATAGTTGAGGAAATTATAAATTCGGCAGTTAGGATGCCGCCATTTACTATGCACCCCCTTTTTCCACTCTGATGTCGGGTACCAACATTACAGCTATGCGTACACGGCGGGTTCATTTCATTTTAGTGAGAAATGCAAACATTTACTGAAATAGGGGGGGTCTATATATTTACCATGAACCGAGATTTTAGGGGGTTACCCCACCGCCCTATACGAATTATCACGCGTAATTCTGCGGTTAATTATATGAGCGTTTTACGAGTAATTATGAGAGCCAGGCCTCTATCTTCCACCCCGGAGTAGTAATTAATACTAAATTATTCCGTCGGTGCCGTGTCCCGATGGTGCAGCGGTTTCTCAGTTACGTAATGACGGCTCACACACTCAGTTCATCATTGGCAATATGCAAGCAAAGAGTGCACGTGTGTGTGTGTGTGTGTGTGTGTGTGTGTGCGAGCGTGTGCGTGCGTGCGTGTGTGCGTGCGTGTGTGCGTGTGTGTGTGTGTGTGTGTGTGTGTGTGTGTGTGTGTGTGTGTGTGCGTGCGTCACAGTGCGTAGTTGTGAGATGTATGTGGTGTGTGGTGTCGTGTGGTGTGTGTGTGTATGGTGTGTTAGTATGTATGTGTGTGGTGTGTGTGTGTGCGTGTGTGTATGTATGTATGTGTGTGTGCATGTGTGTGCACGCGTGCGTACGTACGTGGAGGTTATTAAGCCTGTTCAGACTGTACTAATGTCAGCATGGACACTCTGTCGGTATAAATACGCTCGTTGTGATAGGCGAGGCTTGAATACACTTGCGTCTAATAGCAGCTATTATGCATTTCACTAATCTACGGGTAGATAGATGTTTCTGCTATTACACTGGGCAAACATTGCTTGATGCTATAGCGCTCAACTTGCTACCCTGGGGAACAACCACGCAAAGCCGTGTCACCCACCACTATGGCTGAGAGGGTCTATGTCCCCAGGGTACTGCCCTAGGCAACGGTAACCTGGTGAAGTCCGTTATACGGAACGTACCCTGGTACTGATCTAACATGCCCGCACACGTACCTCGCCTTCTCCACTAACGTGTCTAGGGGTCGCCTACGCTACTCCCTAAATCCGTAACCTAAGCCTAACCTAACCATATCAATAGTTACCAGGTACGTTTCCGTGTATATCCGACCGGTACCCAGGGTATCGTTCGCGGCAGTACCCTGGGGGGACATAGACCTAATCGCAGCCAGTCGGCTGTGCTAGCATCATTGTGATGATTGCAGCCAGATGAACGTGCACTAGCTGCGTGGTGCGTCAGCCGTTGCGCGTGAAGGTAGTTTCTTGCGGGGATAAATGCGGGAATTAATGTAAATGTATAGTAATCTTGTCAAAATGAAACTCACTGTGACGGATATAATGTGGACAGAGTGAAATTAGCATGCAGACGCGGCACGCACGCACGCACACACGCACACACCGCACACACGCCACACACCACAGCACCACACCCACACACGGACAATACAAACACATAGGACATATCCACGAAAGCACGCACAAGCACCACCGTCACCGCACAGCCGCACGCAACAACACCCCACGCACGCACACACACACAAACGCACGCACACACGCACGCACACACGAACACACAAACACACAGGCACATATCCACGAACGCACGCACTAACACACACTCAGGCACGCGCACACGCACGCACGGACACACACGTACGCACGCACGCACTAACACACACACTCAGGAGCCGCGCACACACGCAGCACGGACACACGTACGCACGAACGCATCACACCACAAAATTTGAATGGACAGTAAACGGGAATAATTTGGAATGAAAACGAGCGAGCCATAAATAATACTAAAGCTCCTACCGGACAGTATGATGTAGAGCCATATGTAGGCGAACAGCGAGGAGAAAGCTGTGACGAAGAACACCTTGACGTGATTGATCCGTCTTCCTTCGTCGTCAGGAATCACCGCCACGCACACAGCTGCGAAAATCACACGGTAAGACAGACGGCGTTGATAATCGATGGATTTTCGATGTCATTAAAGTTTATATAAGGTTTACTGAATATTACATTAATCGGTCAATATCTAACCACCTTCAAGTACTAGCCAGGCGCGCCGGAAGCAGTTTTGGATTGGGTGGGTGGGCAATGAGACCAAGGGGTTCACACTATTTTTTTCCCGTGTGTGCGTGAGCGCGTGTGCGCGACGTGTGCTTGAGCGGCGTGTGTGGTGAGCGGCGTGGTGCGTGAAATGTTCGTGCGTGGGAGCGCGTGTATGCGACGTGTGTCGCGTGAGCGCGTGTGTGCGACATGGTCGTGTGCGAGTGGTGTGGTGACGTGTGTGCGTGAATACGCGTGGTGGCGAGCGCTGTGGTGCGTGAGCGTCGTGTGTGTGTGACCTGTGTGCGTGAGGCGCGCTGTGTGCGGCTGTGCGGAGCCGCGTGCTGTGCGATGGGTGCGTGAGCGCGTGTGTGCGACGGTTGTGGCGTGAGCGCGTGTGTGGCGTGTGTGCGTGAGCGCGGACGTGTGTGCCGACGTGGGTGCGTGAGCGCGTTGTGTGCGTGAGCGCATGTTGTGACGTGTGTGCGTAAACCGTGTGTGCGACCCTGGTGCGTGTGTGCGTCGTGGGTGACTGCGTGTGATGCGACGTCGGTCGCGAGGCGCGTCGTGTGCGACGTGTGTGCGTGAGCGCCGTGTGTGTGCCGTGTGCGTGATCGCGTTGTGCGAACGGGGGGTGCAGCGCGTGTGTGCGACCTGTGGGTGCGTGAGCGCGTACTTGCGACTGTGTGGCGTGAGCGCGTGTGTCCGAGCGCGTGTGTGCTGACATGTGCGTGAGCGCGTGTGTGCGACGTCGCTGTGCGTGAGCGCGTGTGTGGTGAGCGCGTGGTGGTGCGGCGTGTGTGCCGTGAGTGCGGTGTGCGACGTGCTGTGCGTGAGCGCGTGTGTGACGGCGTAAAGTGTCAATCACGCAAATGGCGCGCAGGCGAAAACTTAAATAATGCGATGTATGAAATTAGTTTTTGAAGCGTGTAGAATTAACAATCCTTAGCTCATACATATATTTTCTTCGTTTTCCCACTCTTCTCTCTTTTTTTCGCTTTTTTTGGGCGGGGGGGGTATTTTTGGGTTTGCCCCCCCCCCACCACTTTTTGAATTGGAGGGGCGGCGCCGCCCCTCCCCTTCCCCACTGTCCCGAGGCGCCTCGAGCACTATGTGTATCACCTGCTACTATACTAATGCAATGTTTATTGTTTGGGTGATTTTGATCGTTTCAGCGTGTTTAAGGATGGTTCTGTATATGTGTGTAAAATTGTTTATTCTCTTTTCAGGTGGATTATACATAACCCTAACAGCGATATATATAATAAGGAGTACAAGTTATTCTCTGCGTAGTAATGTTGTGAGTGCTAGCGTGCGCGCGCGGGTGTACGTGTGCATGCATGTGCGCGCGTGCGTGCGTGTGTGCAGGCATGTGCGTGCGTGCGTGCGTGTAGTGACAGCAGCAGCCAGCACCACACACTAGCAGCAGCAGCAGCCAGCAAGCCACACCACCACCACACTAGCAGCAGCAGCAGCACCAACCACCAACTAGCAGCAGCAGCAGCACCCGGCCCAGCCGCCACTCGCGTACCTGCACCCACCACCTTACACGACCACGACCACGACCACGACGCACCTTCACCATCAGCAGCAGCAGCACCACCACAGCACCAGCAGCAGCAGCCAGCAGCAGCGCAGCAGCACAGCAGCACCACCAACCACCACCCACCTTTTGTACCAGCAGCCTGGTTTGCTGTCTATAGACCAATCAGGATGTAATCGGCGGCTGGAGAAGGGAGGGGAGAAGGCTGGCGGAGGCCAAGGGGAGAAGGGGAGAAGGTGGGTGGAGGAGGGGGAGATAGCTGGTGGAGGAAGGAGGAGGGGAGAAAGCTGGTGGACGGAGGTGGTGCGAGAAGGAGGAGGCCTGGTGGAGAAGGTGGGCACGGGAGGGTGGGCCGCTTCTCCCTGGGCTACGCTCCGGCTTCTCGCCTTCCTCCAGGGCCACACGCGTTCACGGCCCACCACCCTTCACCTACCTCCTGCTCTTCCTGCCAGCCAGCTTCTCCCTTCTTGGCGGCGGCCTGTCTTCCTTCTCGCCCGCACCAGCGGTCCTCCCCCTCCTCTTCGCTCCAACGACTTCTCGCTTCTCCGGGCCCCTCCATTCTCCACACAGCTCATCCCTCCTCCTTTCCACCAACGCTTTTCCCATTCTCACCTTCGCTCCTTCTGCCACCGAGGCCCTTCTCCCCGCCGGGTGCTCTCCACTAGCTTCATCGCCTCTCCTTCCACCCCTTCTCGCCTTCCTCGCCCTCCCTCCTTCTCTCCACCAGCTTTCTCCCCTCCTCTTCCCTGCCACCACCGTGCTGCGGGCCTCTCCCCTTCATCCTTCTCGTCCACCAGGGCTTCTCGCCCCGTCCTCCTTCTCGCACCACCTTCTCCCTTCTCCGGGCCCCCTTAGACTCCTCGCTTCACCATCTTCTTCACGCAGCTGGAATTGACGTCACGAAAACGCGAGCTACATCTGATGTGGTTATCACACCAGGCCGACAAAACCGACAGTCCATAAAAATATTGGCCCCCAACCTTATCTCCTTGTACGCGGCCTGAATATAGACAAACCCATTTCCAACTGGTGCCCAAAGCCCACCCGCGCCGCGCCGCCGTGCCAATTGCGCGTGCCACACGTGACAGCATAAATATATATATATTTCAGTGGCTCGAAATAGAAACAAAAATGTGTTGTCCTGCGGACAACCCAGGCCATCAATCGGGTTGTCCGCACCAATTTCTGGTTGCCCAAAAAAATATCCCCCCCCAAATCTCCTACTGTTTTCAATCACATAATAGATATGGTAGAAACACGCCCGCCAAAACACTGGTTGTACCCGCCGCGGCCTCGCAGGATTGTTGGGGTCACCACCCACGGGCACAGGGGCCAAAAATACAGCGAACTGCGCAAAATAGTGGATGACATTAAATATTTTAATGGATCTCTGGCCTCCCTCGATCCACACCAGCTAACGGCTCCTCTACTCTCTGGCATGCTTTTGTTTGGGTGTCACGATGCGAAAGAGGCGACATTTTTGTTGCATTGTTCTGCTGTGCTCCAGATAGCCTCTAATTGTTCAGCTGGCGGGATCTAGGATTCAAGGAGGAGGGGTGAAAAACAAAGCGGGGGGGGGGGTATGGGGGTGCCTCAACCCACGAAAATTTTAAGCAAAAACTCGACAACCTACGATCCGCAAGGAGAACGTCAATGGTATTTGAAGGCCGCACTACAACCCCACCTTTCACTTTTGAGCTACATGTGGCACGCCTTTTTCACTAGCCACCATAACGTATCGCACATGACCCGACAAACCTTTCTCACTTTAACTAATTCACCTTTCAAGGACTGCAGACCCATGAATAACCGCAAACTGGCTGGCTTTGTTTTGCAATCGAGGCAGGACCAGCCATCGGAAAATTCAGGAGACACAATACACTAAATCGGACATAAACTAACACCAAAATGTAGGGGTGAACTTGCTGATTTGCTGTTTCCAAATCGAGTTGCACACGGCACCCACTCTCATAGCAAATAAGAAAACCATGAAAATATACCCAAAGGCAGTGATATACGCGAACAAGTAGGCCCCAGCTGGTATGCGTCGCTTTCCCACACGCATAGATTTAATGGCGGGCCGAGGAGCCCCAGGCCTCAAAACCTAAGTCTATAACCTGGAGAAAACCACCAAACGCGCCCCTGAGCAACCCCACATCCACCAAGTAAAGTGCGTATTTTTCGTAACCACATTGTTCATCTCGGTTGTCAACCCTCACCGCCGCGAGAGCAACTAGTCAAGCTCAAGACTCGGAATTCAGGTTGTCCGCCAGGCCGGCCCACAAAATCTACTCCGGAGTTTGTCTCGGACAACGCCGGACAACCGCTTATTTTGAAGCTAACACCGACAAGCTATTCATCATAGGATAATCATATATTTTTATTTTATATATATAAAAAATTTTTATAATTTGTATACCTCTATGCCCCCCCGAACTATCATAGGTATACGACATAGCTCATCACAAGCTGAGCTGGTCAGTCGTTACCCCCAACATTGCTGGCGGCGGCCGTGTTGTTTACAGTTGAATAGGGTGCTTCAAGATGCTGCCCCTGTGACGCCAGCCGCCATTCGCTCACTGCACAGTGACTGTTAATATATATAGCCAAAAGGTAGAAAGAGTCGGAACTCAAATCCTCTACCACCCCACCGGCTCCGGAATGGATTCCCACCAACGATTAACAAAGCCACAACAACACAGAAAACACAACCATTCCTACTTGCCATCTTTGGTTTGTCAATTTCAACGAACAGTGTTCACGTTGTTAGAAAATATAGCCGCACTGTCCTCTGACTTGCGTACAACCAGAGACCTCCTATCGTCATCACGAAAATATATACAACACCCACCAACACCGAACAAGCCCTGGCGAAAAATTCGGAGCGAAATCCAGGCCAACCGCCCACTCGCACCTAACCAAACCCGTTGCGCGGACTCACAACTGTAAATGTCTGCACCAGGCCAGGAACTGGCCAGGAACAACCACCACCCGAGCGGGCCGAACCCAGCTATTAAAAGTTGCGTCATTGGGGCGTGCCTGGCCGGCGCGGGGCGGAGACGCAAGCGCTGGATACGTTTTTGGCAAGCGCTGCGCAAGAATGGCGAGGCTTCGTACGGGAGGTGAAAGCAGCGTGTGCTCCCAACATGCAATGCGCCGCCTATATCGCCATGTACTTTGCAGACATTTAGCATTGACCGCCGCAAAGCCCCGTTAGCGGAACGCTCGACCATTTCGGCCAGTGCTTGCTGTGATTTCGCGTGACAGAGCTCGGTTATGAGAGCCCGACCGCGAAGAGAGCACGTCTATATCTTCTAACAAAGTGAACACTGTGTTGGAAATTGAAACAAAGATGGGTCGGAATGGTTTGTCTTTGTCTTGTAATTCGGTGCTGAGGGACATTCAATGGGCGAGCGTGCCGACGGACTTGGAGTCGCGCCGCGGGGCCTTTCGCCTACGCTGCCGAGGTACCGTTAACCAGCAGGCAGCACCTTGAATGAGCGTCTCAATAAAAAAAATTAATGGTAAATAAACATGAAATGTACACCAAGCCAAAAGAATCTTAAATGTTTCTGCTAGGCCTACTCTATTGCACCTGGTGAATTGGCGTGCAAATGCTCATCTGCAACACAACAAATACACGCGTATGCCTCGCCGCGCTGTGGGCAGCGTTGGCAGCAACACCAACATGAATAGAGAGTTCAAGTTTTATTCATCGTCTCTTGTCTCTTGTCTTCAGAAACAAGGTTCTGCTCTTATCTCATGTTGTTTGTGGGCCACGCTGCACAGCGCGGGACGGCGGCTATAAACCGGTGTATTTGTGTGTTTGCAAGATGAGCATTTGACGGGCGGCATTCACAGGTGAAATAAGAGTAGGCCTAGAGAAACATTAAGAACTCTCTTGGGTACATCTTCATTGTTTATTGTACCATTAATTTTTTTTATTGAGACGGTTCGGCAAGTGCCTTGTGATATTAAGCAGTTCCAGCTGTGCACAGTGAGGCAAGCGTGCGCGCGGTGCAAGTGTTCAAGAGAGCCTGCTGCATACGAGGCATTTACAGCCGGACATTCGACGAGGAAACCTCGGCTAATAATAGGTGAAAAAGAGAGTTATAGAAAAGATTGAGAATTTCTGTAGTACTCACTACTAGTATTGTAAATTCGTATTTATTTAGGGCATTATATTTTATTGAAACGTTTCAAGTGCGCTCGTGATCGTATTGTAACATATTACATAGGGCGTGGAGGCAACCGTACTTACTACCATAGTTTCAAGTCATGAGGGTGACTAACCCTAGGCGCTATAACAGTAGGCCGCGACTAGGTCTGTACGACGGATTGACTCTAATTCTATGTTGTCTTCTAACGGGCCTAGGCAATACTCCGTTTTCATAATAGCCGCCAGCATACCATAACAGCTCATCACATACAGCCGTGAAAATCTCAGCTGACTATGCAAATCCAACCCACCACACCACCACGAGGCACCGCATTTCAACCCCCCACCAGCAGCAGCCACGACCGGAGGCACCGACCACCACGCACCGACCACCGCACCGGCCACCACCCCGACCACCGACCGCACCGGCCACCACCGTACCGGCAGACCGGCCGGCCACCGCCCTGCACCACCTGCCCCTCACCGGCCACCGCCACCACCGACCGACCACCACCACCACCACCACCACCAGCAGCACGTCACACCACGGCACTCGCCGCGCACCGAACACACGCAGCAACAACCACACCACCCACCACCGAACCGACCAGCTACCGCCACCAGCCGGGACCACTACCGAGCAGCACCACCACCGCCACTGCGCCGCCGCCTGCGCCGCCGACCGCCACCGGCACAGGACCACCAGCACCACGACCGACCACCACCACGCAGCAGCACCGTCAGCACACCGCCCGCACGAACACACCAGCAACACACCGAGCCACCACCACCACACACACCAGCACCGCCACCACCACGCCTACAGCAGCACCACCCCGCCAGCGCGCCGCCGGCCTGCCGCCGCGCCGGCTGGCGCGCCGCCAGCGCCGCCGCCGGCGCCGCCGCCGCGCCCGGCCGCCACCACCACCACCACCAGCAGTACGTACCTATGATGACGAGCAGGTTGAATGCGGCTGAGCCTACGATGGTGCCCGGACCGAGCTGACCCGCTTGGAAGTCGTTACCAACGATCTCAATGATAGAGAGCAATAAAAAAAGATTCAAGGAGCGCTGGAGGCCGAGGGCCATCAACGTCAAGTTCGCGACGGTGCCGTTCCACACCTAGCGAGCGGTTTATACAGTCATTCAGTCAGTTAGTTAGTTAGTTATTTAGTTAGTTTGAACTTATCTACTTACTTTATATTGATTTAACTCGTATTACTTAATATTATTCATTATTTTGTTATTATTATTATTATTATTGTTATTAATTATTATTTCATTTATTTATTTATGTATTTATTGAAAAAGTTTAACATCAAGTCTATGCTTAACTAACATATATATCATGCAAGCTAGAAATGCTTAAAACCACGCTTGGCAACTAAGTGGCCCTCGTTTGGTCGTTCACATTCGTACATGTAAAAAAACACGTACAAGGCGGTCCAGCTTGACCAACCTAGCAACAGTATCCAGGGGTAGGGGATATCTCGCTTAGCCGTAACAAGGTTTAATTCATCTGCCACGTCGCAGACGACACTTGCCTTGACTTCGACTTCCTCCGTCTCGTTGGTGTTCGGTATGGCGACCTTGATTTTCGTCGTCTTACTCGTGATCATTTCTATCGAACACATGAAGATGTCCGCGACGATGGCCACGCCCAGGAAGCTGTAGAAGAGCCCTGCGAAACAACACGCCGTAGTATGTACACCTACCTACCTACCACTACAATACCAGGTTCTACGATGCGAAACAGCACGCGGTAGTATGTACACCTACCTACCTACCACTACAATACCAGGTTCTACGATGCGAAACAGCACGCGGTAGTATGTACACCTACCTACCTGTGATATAGTACTAGGTTAAAATAATAATTATAATAATTTTCGGGTGCCCACTGGGCTACTGGCCTAGTGGGCTAGTGAAGAGATTCGCAGTTTTCACTGGCGGGTGCCGCCGCATAATTAGGTTAAAATCCTACTTTAATCTGTAATGTAATACTCCTGGTAATACCAAGCTCTACTCTCTCTACTAAGGTTCTACCTCTACTAACCTATGGTATATATCACCAGGTTCTACACCTACCCACCTGTGATATATTGCTAGGTTTTACCTCTACCTCTGTATTACTAGATTCCACCCCTATTCACTTGTAATTTAGTACTAGGTTATATACCCCCCTACCGTTTAGCATCTCCATATCTCCCCTTGAGAGATAAGTCATTTTATATCCTAATATATTACTAGGTCCTGAACAAAAGACAGGATCAAAATCAATGTCCAGGAAGCTGTAGATCTGTGCTGTTAAAGAGCATGGCACTACGTACCTAACCCACTTATCGGTACAGCACGCAACCTCTCCACATACGACAAGACATACTCTATACCCTAATATACTAATAAGTTTTACCCCTACCGGCAAGTCTGTGCAATACTAGATCTTCACATGAGAGACACGACGTGTTTTATACCCTAATATCAGAAAATTGATAATGACAATTTGTCATTATTAAACCCTGCTAATATACACATAGGTTCTTTTGTCACTTTAAAAACTCGATCACAATTTACCAAACTGCGTGGTATGATTAAAATGTGCATGTCGGATATCGACCAGCTTCATTAATCATTCCTGCATACGATTATTTTTATGCGCACACATGTGACATTATCATTAGTCTCGTGTGTACTCATTTACATACTCATACGTGCCTATTCACGTGCACACGCACCATCGTCGTACCGTATTTGTTCCCTTTATAAACGTATTTGTTCCCTTTATAATGTTTCCCGTATTTGTTCCCTTTATAATGTTTCCCTTTAGTTATTCCTATTTCTTCCCGTTACAAACACGAACGCAAATCATCGTGGCATTTGTTCCCTTTACTTATTCTTCTTTATTCATGTTATATTTACGAACGCAAATCATCGTGGTAGGCCTATTTGTTCCCTAGTCCTGTTCATTCCCGTTATATTCATAATCGTGGTGCCGTAGTCGTTCGGTTCCCGTTACTTATATTCCACATGCGCGCATTCATATAGAGTTACACCTGCATAATAGGGGTCACTCGAGGGAACCCCTGAAACGTGTCCTTTATAGACAGGTGTCGGTAATACGCCGCTGGTCTCCGTGAATAACGGCCACTCACGGGAAAAGCTGAAATTGTACTTTATCGCCGACAGATGTTGGCATCTGTTGTAGTTGTGTCTCAGCTAACACAGGTC